TCCTCACTCTTTCAAATATACAGGACTTGTGGGTCTGTTACGTGATTGCTGTGAAACCGAATAACCCGAAAGTTACAGGTAAAGTCTAAAGCTTTTACTTACATACTTTATCCTTCTTTTCTGCGCTCTCTATTGTCTTTTGCTGTAAGTCTATTGGACAAAATAACAGTCTCTTATTATTTAATCACCAGTATTAATTTAGGAGTAAAATGACAATAGATTCTCAACCTAAAATAAGTAATGGGACATCATACTCTGTAGTTACCAGGGCTTCAGCCAAACTAGGCAAACAGGAGAAGGTGATGGACTCACGCATACCGGTCCTGAAGACCAGGGCTAATATTCCCAGCTCGTACAGATTACCCATGTCGCCACAGTCCTACAGTGAAGCTGTGCAAAGTCAGCCAAGTGGATGTGGCTCCACCCCTGTTAACACGACTAGGTTAACAGATCCGAGTGGGAAAATTGCACTAAGTGAGAACTTCATAACACCCATCCCCATGGTAGACCATGAAACAAATAGGAAGGCCAAAAAGAAACGTTCACGACGTCGCAAGACGACAAGAACGCTCCCCAAGAAGACAGACGACTGCAAGGTCTGTGCTTCTGTTGTCGAACAAGCAGACTCTGCTTTCGAATGTAACTTTTGCAACCGATGGGTGCATTGCAGATGCGACAGTGGGGTACCAAAAGCATATTATGACTTTATGCGTAAAAACCCATGCCAATGGTTCTGGTACATATGCCCGAGTTGCCGTCCTGATGTAGCCTCGCGTAGTCCTTTGAAAACTAAAGATGGCACAGAAGTAGCGGGGAAAAAGGTGAAAAGCTCGACCCCCACCAATCCGGAAGTTAGTACAAACGCGCGTAAACCGGGGATACCAAAATCCTCACCGGTTAAACTTGTAACTCTTGCCATAACCGCTCCAGACACAGAGGCTGGAGAACCACGGGTTTCCGTCGTTGGAAAAAGACCCCAACCGTCTATCAGTAATGCTGGCTATAGCACTGAGACACATAAAAATACCCAGTCGCACCAGTCAAACCAAAACGGTCTTAAAGGTGATCACAAACGTGCGAGGACCGAGCCCAAGCCCACGGTTAGCAGATCAAATTGTGTAATCCTCTTTAATGTACCAGACTGTAGCAGTAGTCTGCTGAAAGATAGGGCCCTATTTGATCAGGAACAGTGGTCCATCTTAAGTAGCACACTGGGTTTGGACATCCAACCAGTAAATCTATGCAGATTGTATAGGGGCACTGCTGCACCTGAAGGCAAACCATCCCCACTGAGGGTAACATTGAGCTCTACCGAGGATGTTGAAAAAGTGTTACTGGCTTCTCAAGTCCTTTCTATAGGGAGGGCCTGTAACATACGTGTTAAGCCAGACAGGCCGTGGAAGGAAAGACAAATGGCGAGGGAGTCGCCAGAGCTCATTCCTTCTGCCTCCATGGTTGTGCATGGCATTCCCGAACTGGTAACTGGGAACGCCTGCGAAAAGCATTGTCATGATATACAGCAACGGAGATGGTCAGCATCCCAGATGGCCCTGGGAAGTTCAGGGGCTGTCTCTATTTATAGACTGCCTCGACCCACTCATCTTATGTCAATTAACTCGCCACGTCTGTTAGCTGTCAAGTTCAGCTCCCAAGACCAGTTGACTACCGCTCTCCATAGATGGTACGAGACCAAGGACAAGGTCAGCAAACACATTCGCTGCTGCGAGAGCCGGCCTCGCACTCAAAGGAGAGAACAAAGCGTAGTAAAAGAAAATCCTCAACCCCTAGTCACACTACAGCGGTGCAGCACGGACGATGATAGCCAGTGTCATCCGAGTGCTCCAACTGAACTAGAAGAAAAAACGCCAACAGGCCGGTTCCTGGGGAATCGGCCAACTAGTTCGTAGGATAACTCCTCAACCGATAGCCAATATCAAGTCAACTACCCCCCAATACGGGGAAGTGGTGAGACTGACTACCAGTTGCCTGTATAGTAATGTGAGAGGGCTAAGAGGCAAAATAGCTGAACTTAGACACCTACAATCACAACTGAACTCCAAAATCATAATACTGACGGAAACCTGGCTAACCCCTACGGTGGCAGACAGCGAAGTCAGTATAAATGATATGGTCCTAGTCAGGCGAGATAGGGACCTGAAAGAAGGAGGTGGAGTCGCCATATACGTCGACAAACAGCTCAGATGTGTTCACGCGACGGACCCTCCCCTCACAGAGCTCCCTGACTCCATATGGTGCCACTTCACCGTTGGGTACTGCAAATATCTAGTGGGCAGCATTTATCGATCACCTTCATGTGGAGCAGACCACAACCAGGTACTGCTAAATACAATCTCAGCGACTCAAGACATGGGTTATGATCAAATTGTCATAGCTGGTGACTTCAATGCCCCATCTCTTAACTTGGTGTCGGGAAAAGCCCATGATAGATTTGATCGAAATCTGCTGCATACCATCAGGAAGGCTGGATTCACCGAAAATGTCAAGATGGATACTAGATGGGGCCCTGATGGGAAGTCTTCTAGACTGGATTACGTGCTCACTAGTGACCAGCTACTAGTGGAAAACGTTCAGATCACGACTCCCATAGGTAGTAGTGACCACGCGGTCATAGTATTCGACATAGTCCTCCGCGAGCGCTTACAGTGGGACAATACACAGCCCTATCTGTGTTATAACAAAGCCAACTACACCAAAATGCGAAGACTTCTGTCTGAAGCAAACTGGCCTAAAAAATGGACAGAGCTAACAGTAGAAGAACACTGGAGAGTGGTAAAGGAGATCATTCACCAGGCGGTCTCAGACACTGTTCCTTTAGTCTCACCAAAAGCTAGGAAGCAACGATCATGGCTAAAAAGGGGGACACAACGCCTTCTGCAGGCAAAGCGAAAAGCCTGGTTCGCGTGGCGACGATCGAAGAGTCAACCCGAATATGAAGTGTACCTTGAACTCAGGAATCGATGTAACATACGAGTCCGGAGCGATAGAAGGACATTTCAGGGAGACCTCGCCAATAAGCTTCTCGTGAACCCCAAAAGCCTATACAGGTTTATGGCCGAAAGAAAACCGACCAACCAGGGAGCATGCAATCTAGTGGGTTCTGATGGGAAATCTCTTACTAGTCTTGAAATGGCAGAGACATTCAGCCTAGCCTTTCACAGGCAACTAAATAGTAACGAGGATATTACCCCTACAGAACATCCAGATTACATCGCAAACCAACACACGAAAACCTGCTGGGGACATTTCAAATTACCCCGGCTATGGTACTTGCAAAATTGGGAAGGTTGGCTTCGGGAAAGTCTCCAGGTTGTGATGGCATCAGACCATCTGTCCTGAAGCAGTGTTCAGAAAGTCTCTGTCAACCCCTAAGTGATCTGTTCCAACACTCCCTTGATGTAGGGAAACTTCCATGTGAATGGAAACGTGCAATCCTATCCCCTATCTTCAAGGGTGGTGACCGGCAGAATGTGACCAGTTACAGACCAGTTGCTCTACTTCCAGTGGTATCGAAGATATTGGAAAGTCTCATTGACGACCACATGAGAAAATACTTCGATGGGACTAACCTTCTTCACGAAGCACAGCACGGTTTCAGGAGGGGAAGATCCTGCGTGACGAATCTTCTACTAGCCTGGAACGATTGGACACTATCCTGGGACAAAAAGGTACCAGCCCACGTGATCTTTCTCGACTTTGCGAAAGCATTCGACACAGTTCACCATGGTCTGCTCCTTCACAAAATAGGCAAGGCGGGAGTTTCTGGAGCACTTCTCGCATGGCTGAAAGATTACTTAGGCGAGAGAGAATTCTGCACCAAAGTCAACCGCATCCGATCATCTTGGCACACCTCGGCATCAGGGGTTCCTCAGGGTTCTATCCTAGGGCCGTTGATGTTTTTGATTTTTATCAATGACCTGCCCCCCCAACTAAACTGCTCTGCGCTTCTTTACGCTGACGACGTAAAGATTTGGAGAGCAATAAACTCATCGGAAGACTCAGATAGATTGCAGGCTGACCTGCAAACTCTGGGAAATTGGGCTTTGGCTAACGGAATGCCTTTCAATCTAAAGAAGTGCAAAGTAGTGCAGCTTCATTCCGGCAGGTCACAGAGTGTAAATTACACCCTTGGTGGCCAGAACTTGAGTTGTGTTCCATCAGAGCGTGATCTAGGTCTTATTCTAACAGAAAAGCTAGACACCAGTGGAAATTACTCGAGGGACGTCGCCAAAGCCTACGCAACATTACACTTTATGCACAGGCAGCTGGGAGCTCTCACTCCCGAACTGTTCTTAAGGCTATACAAGGCATATGTGAGGCCACACCTTGAGGTGCATAATATCATTGCACCCAAATGAAAGCATCCTGCCATTAAGCGATTATAGGCTTCCACGAGGTAACCCGCTAAAATTAGCACACCAGAGACCAAAGACTCGAGTGCGTTCACACTTCTTTTCGCTTCGTGTTTGCCGTCTCTGGAACGCTTCACCGTCGGCCGTGACTACAGTGCCATCTCTGGAGATTTTTAAGCGGAAGCTAGACAATCATGCAGAAATGCGGGGTTTGTGTCTCAATGGCTTATCCTCATAAAATTTGAAACCAAACTGTCAATGAATAAGCGTACTAACTAAATCCCCACGACCTATTCTGCCTTCTCTCACTCTATCTTTTCCTTAGGTCACCTTTATTATTCCACTTATCTCAACCTATATTATCTACACTACAACCTATTATTATTATTATTGTTACTATTCTGCTTTTACGACTACACCGAATGACCAAGGGGAGTTAGGTCAAACTCCATTCACGGCAGCAATACAGTCCTAACATACTGCATACTACAAACCACATATCAACCAATCCCCGCACCACTCCTCCTGGAGTCTACCAGAGCTAAAGCAGTCGAGTGTCGGGACTTACTACGCAGAAGCTCACCGAAGATCTGGGACCTCTACCTCACAATCAAGAAGCGAGCTCAAAGAAATCACTGGTTTATACTAGCTCGTCATCAGGATATTGGATATTGGATATTGGAGGACATTGGATATTGGATGCAAAATAACCTTGAAGATTGGACTAAGTTTCATTTCTCCGTCGATACATAGACAGAGTGCTCTCTTAGTTTTCAAGGTAAACATCATGTCTACAGCCGGTCATCTGGTTGAAAATTCTGGACGAGTTGGGAACAGTTTGAAGACTGAGACCCCAAATGTTAACAAAATTACCCGCAAGTTCGGACTGCTTGATATAAACATCCAACAAAATGTCCCTGCACACCCAGAAATCAAGCGAGACCAAAAACGAATAATTCCAAAGGAGGCATATGATGAAGAGCCCGAAAAATATTTTCCACCTAAAGGTAGTGTTTTGGAACACTGGTTCATGTTTTAGACGACGATATTGATGAACATGTACTTGCCAGGCTGGATAGGCTAAATTCTCTGTTGGATGGGGTGATCTCGCTGTCATGTGGAAAAACGTTTGCGGTTTATAAAGATTCCTCCGCAAAAGGTAATGTTTCTCAATCAATTTTTAATAAATACAGATGACGCCGACAAATCAGATCCATCAAATATTGAAATACCTGATTCGGAATTCAGTACTATGTTCAACCGCTTCTACTAGGCACACATGGTTACAACTTCCATTTCAGAAACCTTGAGAGAGGATGCTTATCTTTTATCAATTCACCTTAATAAAGACTGACTGGTTTTATACTCATTTTTGGCTGATTGACAGTGTACAAACATTGTTTTCGATATAAGCTTCATGTTGTAACTGTTTCTTGTTATGTGCTGTGGAATATAAAATATGTTTAGTCTTTCGCATTTCCTTTTTGGTTTAGTAAATCATCGGCCACACAAAATGTGAATTCTTCTATTCTTTCGTGTTACAATGGGAACGTAGGGCTTCAGTCTCAGTAGCGATATTGTTTTTATGGGTTGGAGTTGCAAGATTCACGTCTAGCCCCCCCTCTTTTGTCGATTTATTACGGGCTAGGCAGCCGGCGTTCAATCTCGGACCTCCGGCATGACTAGCGAGCAGCCTACCATTGAACCACCAACAATGAAGTTATGTACTGACTTTTATTTATTAGACTGCATAATATAATGCTTTTGCCTGCTAGATTCTGAAGTCCTTTTTAACGCTTGAAATGTAGGCTTGAGTCATTTTCATCGTAATAAAAATATTATTCTTGTGATTTCGCAATCCGCTGTTCAAAGCTTAAGGGAGTTACAGCTCAATCACCCAGAGGATATTTTTGATGTTTGAGGCTGTAGGCCACTTTTATTGTGTAAGTCCAGCAATTCCACATAGTTTTCCAATTTGAATGGGGTTTCGAACTTGGAATTCGTCTGAAACTCAAGTGCTTATGTTAGTGAAACACGTATCTCATTGAATGGAAAGTGATTTATGTCTTTTGAAGTTGTCGGGTGTTCAGGAGGAGTTTCTGTTGAGGTGTTATAGAGGGTACTGGTACAGTAAATGTGTTCTAAACTTAATTTTAGACAACATGAGTTAAGCTGACAATACTATAGAGAGACTTTGCAATTGATTGCTTTTGTCATATCGTATTTATTCTGATTAGGTAGGTTATGTAATGTTTTGCAGCAATACTTGTGGAGCTTATACACTTTTAATGATATGGTTCATTTATGGTCACAAATGGTTACATGTTATAACGCTGTGATACGAAGACGCTGAAATGTACTCATAATAAGCATCTGTACATGTTACAGGTTTATCGGCTTAACCTTTCTCGACTGTCAAATCTCATTTTATGTCATATTTCCTAGGTTCCCATCTTCTTTTAAACGTAAATCTAAATTATTATGCCGTTATGCGATAGCACCTTGACAGTATTTCATGTCTAAGTGGGTTTTATATTTATTATGTATCTATTACAGTTGAGAGGATAGAAGGAAGACAGAGGAAGCATGACTTGTGTAATTCTGAACGCTTTATCTCTTACGTCGGATATTCTTTTGAAGCTTCTCTTACATAAAGTAATAACTTTGTCGGTGGTCCGGCCGGTATGTTTTACCTAAATAGAAAAAACTAAGAGACGATTAAAACGTTCGATCAAATAAGATACTGTTGACGTTTAGTTTCTCCCAGATTGTTCAACTTTTAGAGCTGATTAGCAGAACTGTAATTTACAGCACGACCAATCTATGTCCAGAAGAAGCTGTCTTTTGACGAAGATATGTTTGCTTTGAATTTTCCGGTTTTAGTGGTATTCATACAATATTTTTTTTGCGGTTGTTATTAGCAATTTTTGGTTGCTAAAGTCATATAAATTTACCTTTACTTATGAAAGCGATTTCACAACTAGTGGCTACATGAAAACAATAATTTAATGATAGGCTTTGTCCTTATGTGAACATGATAAAATTACGAGCAATAAATTTTACTCAAAATGCTATCAGGCAAGTGCATATAAGTTTACCAGAAAATAACCTTAGAAGTTCAGGCAAATGAATAATAAAGCTTATACTGATAGGTGAAGTAAATATTGAGTACCAGATTGACAAAAATGTAACTTTTGTAATTCCACACACAATACCAAATCACTTCACTAGAGGTGTACATCTTCGATTGCTAAGCATAACTGAGGCAGTTACCGTCGAAATTTTCAACGTAACTTCTGTTTTTGTGGCCACTTTCACCTTCAACCCACACTTAACTGAGTTATTTTATTATCTCCTTGTTATGAAACAGAGGTCTTTTCCCTCCAAGCGTACACATGCAAAATCTACTTACATATCTGCAATACCTGATTACGTATATTTTGCAAGCACTTGCATGATTTGTCCATTATTTTAAATATTATCTACTCACTAATACGGATGAACTTAAGTTGTGTTAACCACAATAATATCAAATATCCATGCGGAATGCCTTCAACATATAGTTATAAAGTCTAATAAGAAATTACTGGAATCGTGTTTATGCTTAAATTGTATTCTGTAAGTATTGTTATCAGAGTATATAAACTGTTTTTGATGCTGAACACAAAAGACTAAGTAACTTAGCTACGTCACCAATATCTATTGCAGTTATTCAAGGATGTTCGCATACTACAACAATGAATTATTAATGTATATGGTACTTTGTGACGGACCAAATCGAAAAGTTTAAATCCGGTCTAAGTGAACTTTTGGTTTTCACTTGGAAAGTAGTTGTCACACATCCGAAGGGCCCGCATTATGATCAGTTAACTATATTAGTAACCTTACCTAGTAAAAATACTCTTTGGTTGTGTGACATAGAGAATAAACAAACCGACGTGAATATAATGGTGTCAGGTACTCCCATTATTGGCCTGTTATAACTGAGTGTACTTCACTTCTGAGATCCTCTCGTGTAGTCGCGAATTCCTAGCTACCGGAAGGTTACTTATGTTCACTGCCATTATGAGCTGAGGGATGGGCTTTTAAAAGCGAATGGGGATGGCTGGCGTTCATCGTAGGACTAATGGGCTTGTAAATTTCAAGCGAGAAGCGGTAAACCCAAAATCCGAATGGAAGAAGTTTCATATGAACTCTTTCTGATCACTAACAACTTTGGGAATACCGAGAGATGGGCTTACTAAAAAATTTATTTCAATCGTGTATGGTAACATCTGAGATCTCATAATAATTTGGAAGAAATCCCAACTAATTCCTACTGTGTCGTAACTTACTTCACTAACTGATCCGTGAACTACATACTGAAACGTTCAATTCATTGTCATCATACAGTATAGCATGTAGGCCATCTTGATTTTTTTCGATTGTGTTTACCTTTGTTACCATTTCTAGTCCCGTCAGCTTCTCGTCTTTGTTCAACGGTGGCTTGAGACGTTGTATGAGATGAATGGGCACTCAAATTAATAACGAATATGCTGCATTTTTTGTGTCGACTACTTCTATCAGTAGTAGGAAGGAAGGAAACCTTATTTGAGTGTCTATGAGAAGTTTATCTACCTGTTTGTTTTTCTATCGTTTTCCAACTACTTTATCTAGCTATCATTTATTTCTTTATCGAACTGTTCTGTACGGCATTTTTCTCTGTACCAACAATGTGCCGAGATTGTGTTTAATAGGTGTATTTAAGTAAAGCTGCTATACTGCAGTAATTAGAAGTATGTAGTTTTTCAAGGTTGTAACTGAAACATCTGATTTTGTAACAGATGTTTAAAGTATTAATAACATAGAGTAAATTATGAGTTACGATACATTTATACATGGACTATCGCTTTAATTGATATTGGGTCATGAAGTCGGTTCTGTCTGTCTGTCTGTCTGTTTTGACATAGAACTTTGCACATATGTGCGGCAGTTCAAGTCACCACAAATCCATGTAGCACACAAAGCAAGAGAAGAAAGTAGAAGAAATGCATAATAGAGGCAGTAAACAGAGGTGTGAGACAAAGAAATAGGAGTAACGAAGAACAATATAATTTCATTGGAAATCATAGGTCACAAGGAGTGCTGCATCTGCGCCAGCCACTGAGAACGATTTTGAGCCATGTCACCAATTGTTTCCAGCCTTCATTGGTTTTTACCGTCCTGAGGACCCCAACCAGGAAGTCTACACCTTCCTACGTGGCTTAGACTAAATGTTGTGGATTCCATCGATTGGTGCCATGCTTTGGTTTGACCGCCGCTAGCTCTTTTCCAGCCTGGCCCTATATCAGCTAACGTTGCTCGTTGAGGAAGGCGATGACTAGGCATATGTAACACATGTCCTAACCGTCTCAGTCGATGTAATATCACAACTTCCTCGATTGATCTCCCCTGTATACCTAGAACTAGACACCTAACCTCAATATTGCTCACCTTATTATGCCACTTCACACGGGAGATAAAACGCAGGCACCTATGATCAAAGACAGTGAATCTTTTCATATCTTCCACTCTCAATGGCCAGGTCTCACACCCATAAAGGAGGACGGAGTGAACTGCTGAGCAGTACATCCGCCCTTTGGTCGATAATCGGATATCACGTCTGCGCCAGAGACGGCGTAAACTGGCATATGCGAAACTAGCCATCTGTATCCGTGCTCAGATTTCGTCAGAGATCAACCCATTGGGGCTGATGGTACTTCCCAAATAAGTGAGACGGTCCACGTAATCTACCACTTCACTCCCTATTTCTAAACTAGGAGTCAGTGTAGTCCAGTCCTGTAACACCATCTTGCATTTGGTGGCAGCGAATCGCATGTCAAACGTTCGTAGATTGCAGCTCAAGGTGTTCAGAAGACTCTGCATCTTGTCAGCGTCTTCGCCTAGAAGGACTACATCGTTTGCATATTCTAAGTCAACGAGATTATTACCTGGTAACAAGTCAATCCCTGAGTCGGTGAAGTGAGTTAGGGTTAAGTCCATTAGTACATCTATGATGAAATTGAATAAAAATGGGGATGATGGGCATCCCTGGCGGACACCAATAGTTGTCACCACTTCAAGTGACAACTCGCCGTAAGTCCTCACCTCGCTGCATGAGTTCGAGTAGAGTGAGTGCCTTGATCAGTGCAATGTATTTCCTCTATACGGCCAAGCATCGCCAAAGTACCTCTGGGTTGACAGAATCGAATGCCGCCTTTAGTTCAAAAAGTATAATTATTGTTGTACGCCGGTAGGAATGCCTGTGTTCTAGAATCTGTCGAAGGGTGAAGACATGAACAATACACCCTCTTCCTGGTCTAAAGCCTGCCTGGCTCTCTCGTGTTTGTGCCTCCCGAGTACCACTTAGTCTACGCATGATTATTGAGCCTAGAAATTTAGATACCATATTGGTCAAGCTAATCCCCCTGTGATTATCACAGAAAGACTTGTCTCCCTTCTTGTATATGGGGATAATCAGTGACTTACACCAACCCGATGGGACTTCTTCTGATTCCCAGACGCTGCCTAGTACCTCAGTTAATGCAGACAGTAAACTGTCTCCACCGTACTTGAATACCTCTGGGGTCATTCCATCAGGTCCCGCTGCTTTGCCTTGTTTCAGATTGATGACAGCTTTAGTAACCTCAGTTAGGTATGGAGGAACTGTGTCTATATCCCATTCAGGGAAGTGTTGGATGTTCGGCAGGTTGAGCGTGGCTGTGGGCCAATTAAACTGCTCCTCGTAGTGTTCTTTCCAGCGTTCGAGTCGTCTATCCTAGGAGCTAATTATGTTGCCATTTTTCTACGAGATTGTTTCACTTATCATTTGCCTTTTACCACCTGTTTCCCTGATAAACCTAAATAGTTGTCTGGTGTTACTAACCGCCAATGCCTTTTCCATCTCTTTCACTTTTGTCGCCCACCACTGTTCACGGTCGTTGCGAAGACTTCTTGTTAGTTTTCGTTTGAGTACCTTTCGCTCCTCATCATAATCGGAGCTCGCTAGAATCAGTCTTCTTGCGTCAATCAGTTCGGATGAGGCGGTAGAGATCCAATGGCTTTTACTAGCTTTAGGTTTTAGCTTATTAACGGCTTTCACAGCTGTGCCTACAGCTAACTGTATGTTGTGCCAGGCTATCTCAGGGGAAGTCCTGCTGTCGACCTCAGATACTCGTTTCGCTATTTCTTCCTTAAATAGGGACTCAGTTTCTCGATCTAGTTGGGGGCGTAACTGTTTCCCTACCGTCAACTTCTTATATCCGTTTAGCCGTAAGCATAAACGTGCGCGAACCAGAGCGTGATCAGAGTCTACACACATGTTCCAGAAGGAGCGAAGTCTTCTACTGGCCCGCGCCAACGATACCCTATCGCTAAGTGCTCTATCTGAGTCCAACGTTGATTCTGTGATGGAGGTCGCCAGGTTACACAATGCCTCTCTTTGTGCCTGAAGTTAGTGCTGACTAGGAACAGATGACTATCTGAGCAAAACTGTAGAAGACGATCACCCTTGTCGGTTCGTCGGCAGAGAACTCCATACGTACCACCTTCATACTTCTCAGTCTGGCACAACTTCCCTACTTGGGCATTGAAGTCGTCTGCTATATCTGAACGTTTTGTTTTTTGCAGCAAATTTGACAGTTTCAGGTAGAAGTCATCCTTTAGTTCTTCCTAATTGCAGTCTGTTGAGGCGTAAGCGGAGACTACGGAAGGGCAACGACGGGTGGCACCGTCTTTCATTCTTTTAATGGACCCATTCAGACAGAGCGCACACATACGGCTATCTAACACTCACTGCTATCACTACACCTGTGAGTCCTCGCGAACCAGTTGACGGGTCCCCTGACACCCTTTAAGTAAATTTCGGAGATTCGCCCTGTTGGCCGGGTAAGGCTAAGTGAATGAACACACTCGGATCTTGTATGCATGTCTCCGAAACAAAACATACATCCTTGGTTCGAGATGCCTGTTGTCCGATTTGGCAGAGGGTCCTGATGTTGGATGCTCCTATATGAAGTGGGCGACATGGATTTAAGAGGCTGTTGTTTGTGGTCGCAGAGTGAAGTGAAGATGACTCACTAGCCCGCAGAATAGTACCGACTGTAGCAAGGAAGTAAGATTACGGTGATGTGGAATGAGAATGATGCTCAGGAAGGTTTCGTGTGCTCTTAGAAGTGTGTGGGCAGTTGTTACTTCCCGGTTACCCACACCATGGAAGTTGTTTGGTTCTTCGGGTATCTGAAACAGAAAGACGGTTAGTGTTGCATGACCACAGAGCCCAGGCAACAACTACTTGCGGCCGGTCACACATAGCCTGTATGAACTGGTTTTATGGTTTGGTTCCGAATTAGTAAATTTACCGCAGTTACGGACAGCCGTAGGGTAAGTCGAGATGTACAGTTTTTGGGTTTGACCTTTTCTAACCCCCTCTTTTCGGAATGGAGAGACAACATAGCTTTCATTCTGGTCACCCGAGGGAAACACCCCACTGCTGTTACCTGTTCCCCAGTACGACTTCGCCCTCAGACCCCCAGCATAATGTAAGAAAGATTCTTACACAATGCCGGTAACTCCTTTTAGTCTAATCTCTATACTAACAACCTTCGTGGCATGGTAGGATCTGCAGGAACACTGGTTCCAGCCAGTGCACCTTGTTGGGTCATCGCGATGTGCAAGCCCAGCCACCACGTCAAGGTAACAGCTATAGGTTGGGATGAAGTCGGTTGCTTTAAAATCCATCTTAAGAATAGTTTAGGTGAGACTAATTCAATGGTATTACTATGTACAATTAGCCGTAACATTCCACTTAATGTTAACGGATCAAAATCAATTTAATTTTAATTATGAGCCCTTAAAGCAACAAAGTTATCTTCAAATGAAAGATGTACTCAAGGTATGATATAATGGTATATTTCGGTAAAGTAATTAGTGATTGCAAATAGGTATTAGTTCTTCTGTTTATTGCATCAGTCTTCAACCATAGTACGGACGCTTCTGTATTATTTCTGAAAAGAAAGAAAGAAAAAATATAAATTGCCACATGTCATTTTAAAAATTTCAATAAGATGATTAAAACTGGGGATGATTATGTATACAGTTTAGCGTTGAAAACAAAACTAGAAAAGAATGAAACTAGGAATGGACAAGCGGAGATCGTCTGAGCCTTCTGGACTATTAGATATTAAAGAAAAATAAACTTAAGATCATATTTCGAAGACTTTTTCATTTAACAGGTCAACATCTCCCTTTTGCTGCCTGCATTAATTTCCATTTAGAAAAACCTTTGATGCTTTTACCTTTCGTTTGTGCAAAGGTATTAAATCGAAGTTCCCTGTTTTCACCAATTCAGATTTTTTAAATTTTATTATTTGAGTAAGAAACTATGAGTTCCTCCATATTATCATAAGTTATTCTGCTTTATTCATTTAGAAGCACCAGAATTTCGTTGCTAAAAGTATATCGGAATATTTACTTACTGATCTCATGAATTCACATGCATCAGGCAATCTGTTTTGTGATGATTAGCGATTCTAACAGACTATCCGAACCTTTTAAGGTGCGATGGAATTGAAAATCATTTGCTTAAAATAATCAACCAGATTTTGAGATATTTTAGTGGAAGGCTATCAACCATTATATTAAATAGTGTTTTGTTCAACTGCATTACTAACTAGGAAGCTTCATAACCTCAGATTTCCTTTTCAGCCTCTGTTACATTACAGTACAAAAGCATGCGAAATTTTATGGATAAACTGTGTTAAAATTTAACTTGGTCACACTTCATCATTATTAGGTGTTATATAATTCTATAAATTCTAGACTCCTTGCTAAGTCTTTCTGATGAAGGCAGACCTGTTATATATTCTGTTAATTGTAAAATGCATGAAATTCATCTAAACTGCTTTGACTCAGAGAAGCGATTGGAACCTAGTGAAAAGGATTACACATGTGCAATTAATAGTGTTCTCTGAGCTGGTTGGTTTAGTTGCGGAGCTTTCATCGTCTCTCTGGACGACATCTTTAGCGCAGTATTTAGAAAGAAATGATTTAAATTTCTTCATGAGTGATATAATTGTGTCTCCCGGTAACCATCTTTAGATATGTATTGACCGTTTTATATTGACTGGGATTTTAAACTTTCTGATCACCTGATTTACTTTTTATTAGTTGGTATATTTCATCTATAATAACGTGTTTATTAATTGCATTTTCGTTTGAGTACTCATAATCCTTACTCTAGATTGTTTCAGACCACGTAATATTTGGACATACACTAAGAAGTTAACTTTTATTGCTTTATTGAAGGTTGTCGGTATATTGGTTGCAATTCTGTTAATTATTTACTTAATTCTTAATTTTCATTACTCTAATACTTTTGATATTAAATAAAATGCAATTGAATTACCTTCTTTTGATCGAGGAATACAGTTTTTTAACCAAAAACTGATCAAATTTTCATCATACTGATAATTTGTATGCCCATCAACCATGTGTTTTACTGCTTTCGATACAAGTTCTGATGTTAACGGACACAAGGTTTCCACTGAAATAGTACAAGGAAGAAAACAAATAAAAAATAATGTATATAGACGATTAATTTTAAAAAAGATTGAATATTTTACAGTTTATGCAACAGAAATCTCTTTATCGGGTTCTCTGTCTGAACACATCTGCAATAATTCATCGGACTCATGTGTTTAAATTCATATGGACGGCAGTCACTGCGAGATCATTTCCCGCCTTGTTTATAGAGACATATTTTGTTGAATAATGATAGATAGATAAATAAGGTATACCTTATATGTAGAGGGTTTTGTGTTCTTCACTTTCAACTTTCCAAATCAACGCATTGCAATCTGGACTCGAAATTTCGGGGTTGTTACATTAAACTTCGTGATTAAAACAGGATCCCTTTCTAGGATGGGATGATATGGTAATTCTAGTAATTAAATGGTTTATTTTGTTATGTATATATAAACAGTCAAATATAATAATAATAATAAAGGTTTGTGGAGAATATTCTACTGGTCATTTTTGTAAGGCTTTTCAATTTTACTGATATTCACAAAATGTCTCAAGATTTACTATGCTCCTTCGTCAAGCGTAGCTTTTACAATCTTTGGTAAAGATAATGAAATTAGAAAAACATTTGAAGTATTTTGTGGTCAATGAAGAATTAATAAATAATCTGTTTTCCATAAATGTTTATATTTCGAACACACTGGCGATCATTTTGAGAACTTCAATAGTGAAATTTTGTACAATTTCACTGAATTTATTATATTTGTACTAAAACTGTATGAATAATGTAATTGAGACTTATTATGATGCCTTTTAAAGTTTGCATATAATGCTTTGGAGGTATGGGCTGGATTCTCAGCTGATTCACTCTAAAACCCTGCCTAGTTTACTGAATGGTAATAAACCAAGGAAAGAAGGAAGGTTAGGAGTGAAGCTAGCAGCTCTCCTGCCTAAAAAGCGATATCACCACTACTGAAACCTTATATTTCAGTGGAAATACAAAAGAGGGAAAAAAATAGAACACAACAAAGCCATCTGTTACATATTTTTCACAGAACACACCAATTGTTTCATTCTGTTTACCCCCTCTCTATCTGAATGTGGTTTTATATGAGTGTAATAATGTGACCAATACACATCGAACATAGCGATAGTCACAATAATGTGTATTAAACCACTGAACTATTGTAGTTGTGTGGTGAGAGCAGGCTGCTAGCCAAATTGGTAGACATTAATTTACGTCAATGTTTATGTCCCAAATATTGGTCGTGAGAAAATATGAACAAAGACTGATTCAACAAACAACCTCAGAAGACTTTGCGTAGGCGGATACAGTTAACATATAGATGATCTGACATTCAAGAGACAGCCATAAAAAGATGCAAGGTTAACTTTCTGTGAGAAACAACCAATCAGAAGACTGTGTTTTGGGGCTAACATTAATCTATAATAAATATGTACATGAAAATCGGTAAATATGTGTTGATTTCCTTAATAAACGATCTGTTGTCTGACTCTTGTCTTCTGTCGTTGCAGTCGTACTTTGTTCACTGGGTGTTAGTTTATTACTGTAGCGATTAATTATTATCGTAGATGGAATACAAGTCTGTTTGTTTAAGTGTATGGTTTCTTTTTATTGAACACTTGAGCTAGCTTAGACATAAAATACACTATAAAGCGACATCTTGGTGATTTTGAGAAAGGCTGCAACTCTTTCGTTGAGCTAACAAGTTCGAAATGCATATCCTTGATTTTGTTCACAATCATCAATTATAATGTGTCTGTGTTGTATATAAATGTCGATGGGTTTGTAATTCAGTTGGATACTGTATCATTTAGTTAGATTTCAGATAAACCTGGACACAAGCAACCAAATGTTGTCAGTAAAGATTCGGGTGAGAGAATGTTTTTGATAGAAATTTACTCGTCACTACTACTATTGCACTGATCTGAATGATACTTCAAACGATTGGATGGCTTTAAATCACTGATTATGCCAAAAATTAAAACGTCCATAGACCTTCAATATAGGATTTGAATTGACTACAAGCTTAAATTAAGTGGTAAAATTCACCAGTATATGATTAAAAGTAATTTAACGTCGGTAAATGTTAACGTTAACCTGGTAGTGAGAAAGAGTATTTAGAAAAACAGGGTGGAGACAGAGCATAAGTGTAAATTGAGACTTAGCAAGTTCTATATTTTATAACTCGAAAGCAATTGTTCTGCCTTTTATTTCAGTAAAAATTCACCAGCTCAAACACGTTATGTCGGTGGCACAATGGTCAAGACTCTCGCCGACCATGTACATGGTCCGAGGTTCGATCCTCTGCTGACACACACCTGACATCTGTTGTTGGCCTGCAGAATTAGGAATACATTTCTCCAATGCTGATAAGTCCATACCTGTACCAAAAACATGGTGTGAAATCTAGTTGTAAGAAACATAAAAAAAAATCTCTCAGGATCGTAGTATTCAAGACGAAAAATGTAATCTCCGTTTTGAATACATGCGCATTGAAGAAAAACTGACGCCTTAGTTTATTATCGAGAACGAATATATCTCTCATGGAAAAAGTGCGTTAGTCCGATTCGGATAAAATAACATTAATATGTGACTCACTAAATGATGTCAACTCTGACATTAACAATGAGATAATGGTGAAAACATACGGCAGAAATGAGATTATATAAAAATGATGACATTAAGTTGACAAAGTTAGTTGGACAGGAAGATAATACTGTACTAATGGAAAAACAGTTAACAAAAGTTGTCTAAAAGCGAAGGAAGATTCAATGTTGAGGTTTTCGAAAGAACTGAATCTTCTGGGTCACGCCTAACTTATGCTCTGCAAAGAAGGCTCAAAAATGACACCACATTCAGTAGTTTAATTGGTAGCAGAAATTATAGAAGGATTGAGAAATATATATGAATGGATTATCTATCAAACATTGTCGATGAAAATGTGTATCTAAGTAAAATTTGTGAAGTATTTAGTTTTAATGATCAATCCATTGAATTAACATGACAAGATGAGTGAGAGAGAAAGACTCCCCGTTGTATAGACAGATGTTCAGCATCCGAGGAAAGCCTATATATCAGTCACCACTTCACAACAGACTAAAGTGGAACGAGTAGCTGACTAAATTCTACAATTTTGTTACAATAAGTACTAAACGAATTAACATCATCACAACTCTTCTCATAATAAACCCTAGCGTAGTTGACCCGTTGAGTCTGAAAATGGAGTCTTTCCGTAACACTTTGATTCAGATTGACTACCCCACGAGATTCGACAATAAATACACAACTAGTCAGGTTGATGATCAATAATAGACACATATGTGTTAAAGGAGAAGCTGAGTTTACACCTGAAATTCAAAGTTGAAAACACAAATTCTGTAATCGGGAGAAGAGCATTATTTACAAAGCTTAGAGGAGTATTCCCTCGCCACAACAGGTAATCTCAGCCACCTATTCAAACTTTGTCAAACTGAAAAAATATTAAGTGGATAAGAAGTCAAGTGAACTGTAGTCAGATAAGTTAGGCTTCATTAATTTGTCCTACCATAGTGGCATAAGAAACGCTTAAGCATTAATTAATTTACAGTTAATGCATATAGTGTTGTAATAGCCGAAAGAAAAGAAAACTGAGTCACGCTTAATGATCTTGTTCGCTATTACGTCAGTCAGTCAGTTGACTACTATTGACATTAGCATAATTTTAGCATAAGTGAGAAAAATCACCTCACGACCTAATGACACAGACATAATGGGTCAGCTATGGAAGATCAATTGTCTAATTTCAAATAAGTGACCTGATGATAGTCTATTAGTCATTCCAGTGAAAGATAGACATTGTAATGTTAGAATAGTGGAGGTGTGAGTATGTGTGTGTGTTGGGGGGGGGGTTGGTTGGATTGTTTATTATAATGTACGAAAAATACTCGCGTGTTATGAATGAAAAAGATATTAGTCAGCATACAGTTTTTTGGTAACTTCTAATCAGTTGAGCCGTTTTACGGAAAGGTCATGGAAAATGCCACTAAGGGTCAATGACTAATAACCACAGTGGATAGTAAATTAGACATGAAAAGAAGTGAGTGGATGAATTGAGAGACTTGGCTGAGTAGTATTGCGTAATCTGTAATAATGAAGTAGTGAACAGCATTCAGAAATGAATATGATTTAATCTCTAGGCCCTTGAAAAAATAAATGAATACTTTTTGTGCAAGGGTAACACATTCAGAATATGTATGCAATGTATCTTGAAATTTTGAAAGAACGAAGCAAAGAAAGAAGACAAACGAATGAACATGGATCACACACACACACACTAAATTATTGTACACGTCGAAATAGTTTAAGTAGTAGTAGGAGTAGTGACAGTGACCAGACTAAGCACTTCCGTATACACACTTCAGGGTTTTCCTTGTGTTTAGCAACAGCTTCAGCTGTTGACCGAAGATTCAGCGGGAAATGTTTCGAACAATTGAGCCTTAACTTAAGTATCAATTTTAGAGATTTATTTCTCTCTTTTTGCAGAATGATGTGTGAAAACAAGGTGGTTAATATTTTAACTGTTGGTTTGTTTGATTCCCCTCCTTGACAGCCATGTTTTGGATTGTTCTTGTGCAGACTTGTCTAGACAACATCCTTCTGGTACAGCCTAATCATTCAGCTTCACTTGAGCTACTGAATTCATAAATACAAATGGATGTTACTGGGAGTGCAGAATAATCTTTGATATTTTGACGAGGTGGTTGTTGCAGAGAAAAGATGTAAAAGCTGTATATTTTAGATTGTGACTCTGGAATTCTACTTTCGAATCAGGGGAGCTTTAAATAGAAATGTGATGATAAATCTTAGTATCAAGTGATAAAGCCTGGAGTTGTTAGGTTGTATGCGTTGCTTCCTTTGAATCAAGATAAAAACAGAGTGTTCGTTTGTCAAATTTTAGGAGTATTTTGGTAACTGCCGGTCATCAAGACGGCTTCGATTTTAAGTTTTTCGATAGTGTG